GAATGACGTACAAAATTATTTGCATACAAAAGTATTAAAATATACGACAGTGAAATTCACATATGAACATACTGAAATGTACTATACATAACATATATATGTATGTATGTACATAACACCATAATATTTTCGACTAACGCAATAACAGAACGTCACGTTAGTTCTATAAAGGCAAACAAATGCTAATAGACTTCTTCCCAATTATATGTTTGCATATGTTTTCTCTTATTTACTATTTAAAACTGTGATAAAAACGTGAATAGCGAATAACTGGAAATGCTTTGTTTCTCTGTCAAAACAAAATTGGTAAAAATAGAAATTGGCAACAAATACACTTCAACGATTATATTTGCCTAAGTACTTATACAAGAACACAATATGTATTAATTATATATGTACATACCTATGTATCGAATGCTTTGTTTTGAGTTTGCGATAACAAAACTTTATATGAGGGGTGGATAAGAAAATAATATATTTTAACACAATTATRATGCGAAATTTTAACTAAACAACGTTGGCTTTTATTAAGAAAATGTCCMCTCCCTTTATACTCGTATTACGAAAACGGGGCGCATTAACTATTCTGTCTCGAAAATTATCCTATTATAAGAAATATACCATATCTCGARAATTATATTATTACTCGGATAGAAAAGAACGTATCTAAATTTCAGAGTGATATCTCAAAAATTGAGAGGCTATATATACAGACAGACGAACAGACCGATATGGTTAAATCAACTCTTTGAGGGTGTAATACCGCCTCAAAACACGAAAATAAATGTAATAAAATACTTTACAGCTTATCATTTAATTAAGCATACATTTTACATTAACAAAAYCGCATTTCACAATAAATTAATATGCAAAGAACCTTAAACAGATAACAGCAGCAACGCTTCATGCACAGTGAAAACGGTGCAATTCGGCGACATTACCGCTATCGCTACTTGCAGCTGGCCGAAGCAAACCCTTTAACACTTCCCCATATAGTATGACTAATTAAAAACATGCGGAGAAGCCACAACGTAAATAACATGAAAAYAAAAATAAAATGAAGAAAAAACAAGCATATGATTGTTAGCTTAAAAAAAAAAACAASAAAATCTGTGCACAGCTTAAAACGTATTGCGCTAATGGGCTGATATGTCCAATAACTATATTACCTGTCAGTAATCAAATTAAAGTTTTTTCTTATAGGCTAAAATTCAAATCTTACGTTAATAATGGAGATATAATCAAATTACTTTAAATTAATGCAGTAATTGACAAATAAATATTGTTATTAATGTTTATTACTCACCACAAACTAGAGCGCTGCAAATACTCAGCACCAAAGTCAAAGTGAAATATTTATTATGAAACATTTTGATAGCACTAGCCCACACACAAATATTATTTATTTTTCGGCTTTCCAAATGGTGCAAATGTCAGTTTTTATGAAAACTTTAACTGCGCTGCAATGATTTTTCCAAATATTATTTTCCGTACTTCTTTGTATCCAAATTTATAGTATTCAAAGCAGACCAAATATTAAAAATAGCATTCGTTTGCCTAAAAAATAAACCAAYGTTTTAAATTCGATGCTTCTACTTTTTTTTTTTGGCAAAATACAATTTATTTGGTATTTTGACTTAAATTTCCAACCTCTTTAAAATTTTCTACGTCTTTTGTTCTTGCCACTTCTTTGCGTACTTCAAAAACCTGACCGAAATGCAACAACAAATGGCGAACAACACGAATGATTCAGCTGATTCAGCTAGATAGCGCCCTCTGCCGTAAAAGCAGAAATGTCTAAAATTTCAATAGGAATACCATAAATGTGAACGTGCTCGGAGTGAAAAAGCAAATGTACAGTGTCTACCAATATACGTGATTTTGACCCTACCAGTCCACAGTCTGGTCTACATAACTACGACGGAACGCGACTTGTATCCGACCAGGGACTAGCAACTCGTCAAAAAGCCGCTAGAAAAATGTTATTTGACAGTGATCATGTTCGTTTACGGAACTGTCAGTGAGTTCTGTAAAATTTGTCATTTCATCATGTCACGTTTCCCTTAGGTACAATACTTAAAGATTATTAAGCAAATTTACATTTCTGTAATAATATATTGTACAATTGCTTCCATATCATCTTGGTGTTACAAACTCTATAGCAAACGTGAATACACTTTTCAGGGTATGAAAAGACTATACACAAAGTGTTTTCTTTTAACATATATACCTCTCATCTCCACAAATTCGTTCTGTTAAAAACAAACCATGTTTATATTACAACTAAATATTTATGTATTTATGCAAAACTCTTCTCCATTTCTATTAATAAAATCACGTTTACAAATAGCTGGGATTGCGATCCATCATTTTTTCGACGGTGGCATGTGGTTGATTCTGGAACTCAAAGTGATCGGGATGACCTAGTATGTCGGAGAAGTCAATCATTTCATCTCTAGCTAGTATGATATCACGCATCATGTGGCTAAAAGATATAATATATATTAATAAAAGTGGAACAATTTGTAGTTCTAAAGATATATTAACACGAGAAGGTTAATGAACAAGTTTAAAAAGTTGCCCTAAGTTCAAATTTTTATAATAAAATAAAGTATTTCTATTAACTTCTGTAAGACCAAATTCAACTTAAATTTCAGTAGGTTCTGCTCTTCTTATAAAGAATTCTCTCATAATAAATTTGTCTATCCTACGAATTTTTACTATCCCTATAACTCGAATTCTCATACGATCGAATTTTGTTGTCACTAAAAATAATGTCATCACTGCGATCGGCATGTAATGCTTGTGTAATGTCTGAAAAGCTTAAATCTTTTGTATTGTTATCAAGAGCATAAAAAATTTAGCCTAGAATCTTTACTTTATATTTTGAATCTTTACTTGAGATGGCTTTGAAGCCGATAAGAGTTCAGTTTTCAAACTCTAAACTTTAGTTAATGTTAATAACTGCAATGCGCATTCTAGGAACTCCAAATATATTTTACTTCAAGCACGGCCTATTAAGCAAATGGACTAACGTATTATCCTTAACCTACAATACTATTACTTCTAAATGAGKTTGCACAGCTTAGCTCTGGCATGTTCGAGAGTTCGCATAAGCATACTTGCACTCACCTCGAATTGAGAAATGGTAGGCGTCCAACTTTATTAGCGGCATATAATTCCATACCCATTTTTAATGGCACTCCCTCTCCTTCCCTATTGCGTACAACTTGCATTACCCAGTCTTGCTCAGCATCTTCCACGGGCAACTTCAATTTCGTTTGCATTAAGGCATTTTTGTGAACAGGTGTTGCCCATTCTGACGATGCGCTTAAAATTTGTTGTGCTGGTTCCTTTATAGATTGAAGTCGTAATATGACGTTAAAAATAATTAATTAACTTTTTATATCAATGAAATATTTACCATTACGTTATTTGTTAGAATTTCTTTTTGCCRAACTGAATGACAATACAAATTGTGTGGGAATAGTAATTGCGCTGCCACCTTTTCTGGTTGTCAATTCAGACATAAACTGAGTGCGATGCCAGATGAATTACAAACATTAGCGAACTAAAATYTTATTGCATGTTCAGAACGAAAATTTAAAAGATTAGATTACATTTAAGGATTTCATAACCCAACAGTGCTCTTACTGCAGTTGGAAAGATTAAAAAGCAGCTGTTGTTGCTATTCAAGAAATCAAATYGCTCAATATTTATGATAATGAAACATTGTCATATAGTATTTTGTAATAAAAGCAGTATTCTTTGAAATATTTTCCACATTGTGGAAATAATGGACTCATTTTTTTATTTGCGAAGTCGATTTTCAG